ACACACACACACACACACACACACACACACACACACACACACACACCTGTTTGCCCCAGGTCCTGGGCCATGGAGGCTGACTTAGAAGTCTCTATATTGCTCTTGCCTCAAGGCACCTTAGGAGCAGAAGCCTGGACCCCACAGAGCTTCCTGTAAGACACTCCTTCTGTGCCTAGCCTCATGGAGAGGCCATCTTGAGATGAATATCCCTTGCCATGCCCCAGCCTCATCACCACCCCCAATCCCACCAACTGTCGGTCATCCCATGTCTCTGCTGGCTTCCACACTGCCAGCCTGTCCCCACGAGCCCCCATTACTATTCCTTTCCCTGTAGACTTCTGCACCCGGCAGCCCTAAATCTCATGGGTGGTGCTCCACAAACCCAGGGAACATCACCTATGTGGTATGTGGGCTGCTTCTTGCCCTGGGCCATGCTGCCTCCTGGCCTCATTCCTCTGGCCCCTGGCCTCTGCTGTCTGCTCTGTAATCATCAGGGACCTCTCCCGTCACAGCAGCTTCACTTCTCTGTGTCTTGCTGCATGAGTGGTGGCCATCCTTCCGTGTCTTTTGCTCTGTGGTTACACCTGGAAGCTTCACTGGCCTCACCATGTACTACACTGTGTCAGAACCTGAAACCCCTGTACTGAATTGTACTCTTTCCTGTAGGACTTTCACCCAGGCTCTGTGTGTCATCCCCACCCCCAACAAAACTTGACCATCTTACGGAGGTCTCTTGACCCCACACCTCATAGCCAGCCTCTGGGTCATCACCAACTCCTTCATTTTCGCACTGATAGACACACCCTCATGTAGGCCACTTCTCTAGCCTCTGGCCTCCTCTGGTGGCACGGTAGGTACCATAGAGCTTGAATAGGTTAATGGTTGTGTATCTTTGCAGGCCTTCTGTTGTCCCAGGAAGGAGAGCCTCTGTTAGCCCCATACCCCAGGGCACAAGGCCTTGACCAGAAGAGATGGCTTGGAGCCTTTGCTGTTCGCTGGCCTTGAACTTGACCAGGTCTCTCCAGCAGTGGGTCTCTGACCTCTCTCTCTGCTTCCCTACCTCTGAGAGAGGCAGTTCTTCACCCCCTGCCTCATGGTTTACAGCCTTGCCACAGGCACAAAAACAATGAAGCCAGCCAGCCACAGACTAAAACTTCTGAAACCGTGAGCTGAAAGAAGGATTTCATCTTTCAAATTATTTTTCCCGTTTTTGTTTGTTTGTTTGTTTGCTTGTCACAGAGACTGAAATTGGTTCCTAGGTCAGCCAGGTCTGCTATCTGCTGACACTGGTGTTAACACACATATTACTGCCTCTGTTTTCTAACAATGTCTACAGCTGTTAATGCGTGGTAAACCAGATGTATGTCTCTCATCTTTTCTCGTCCCCTTTGGAGTGGCAAATACCTCATTTCTGCAACCCACTCAGCTTTCAGGTTCAGAGAACAGAGGGGCAACAGTGGGCTGTGCAAGCCTCTTTATTGTTCCTGGTGAGGGGCATTATACACAGCGTGTGGCAGTCAGTTAGCTGGTAAATATCTCAATAAATAAACAAGTCAGCAACATATACACTGAACAGGGAATATATAAAAAAATGGCTAGCTGAGCAGGCCATGGAGAAATAAAGAGCAGGAGAGTGTGGCCAGGGATTCCAGGCTTCCTCGAAACAGGCACGGGAGGTCTGGGGTAGGAGGAATCTTGGGTTCTTGTTCTGAGAGCCTTGGTCCAGTTTAAACAAGTTCTACAAGAATGCATTTCTGTTTTATTTAAAAATATACATTTAAAAAAAGGCACTTAGAGGGAAATACAATCCAATATATCCTTACAGATGCATTCCTGAATCTAGAGCTTTCCAGAAAGACTCCCCAAGCCAAAACCCAGGTGGAAATCCAATGGTGGGGAGATGAGGACACGAGAGTCACTGGCAGGAAGGCTGGTGCCCATCCCATGGGGTGTCTCTGAGAAGGATGTGAGCCTGGGTCTGCTGTCCTGTGCCACCCTTGTTTCCCTTGAACCTCCAGCCTGGGCACTGGGGTCATGAGGAGCCACAAGGTTGCCCAGGTGCCGACAGTCACAGCTGTGGACACGTCCAGTTCCGCTCATGCCTGACATGTGCAGGTGGATCTGGAAGAGAAGGAGAGGAGGTGAGACACCACAGCGCGTGACCTTCCGGCAAGCACAGTCTCTATCTGAGGGGACCTGAGGCTGCCGGTATGGAGAGCTGGCTCTGCTTCATGTGTGCCACTCCCAGCTCCTTCCCCCGACGGAAGCTGGGCAGGCCCAGGCCCAGGCCTCAGAGTTCCCAGGCCCGGGAAGGCTGCTGTCTGCGCGGCACAGCATCGTCTTCTTCTCAGGTCCCACACTGGCTCCTGGGAGAGCCTGCACTGGGCCTCCAGGGTAGTGCTCCTGGGAGGCCACTGCTGGTGCTGACCGACGGGAGAGAAGGGATGGGGTAAGGGTGCAGGGAGGGTTTCTCTTTGCAAATTCTTAGGCGTCTATACCTGCGGCTTGGAAAATAATGATAGAGTCTGAAGACACTGCATCAAAAAGTGCAGGAAAATCCTATGACCATTTCAACCAATTTCCCCCAGAGTAATAAATTCAAACTCAGTACCATAGCCTCAACATCTGGATAGCTGTGCGATGTGTGTGCAGAGTGTGTGTGTGTGTGTGTGTGTGTGTGTGTGTGTGTGTGTGTGTGTGTGGTGTGTGTGTGTGTGTGTGTAAAGTGAAATATATAGTGTATATTGTCCTGTTTCTTGCTCCCTCATCTGTCAGTGAAATGTAGAACTTTCCCCTCACTTCAAGGTCATACAACTGATCTTTAAGCTTTGTGAGCCAATGGGGCTGGTAGGGCTGGTGCTGCGCCCACTTAGACGCTCTGCTCTCATGACGCTCTGGTACGGGAGCCACCATCTAAGCGTCACCCGGCACGGCCTCTAAGGTGCCAGCTCTTGTGGCATTCAAATACGGGCAGCAGGTCAAATGTCACGTTCACGGACAGGGGCTGAACTCACACGCCACCCCCCATGACCCGTGAGGCCATGCACTTACACAGGCGTGCGCGTGTGCATACACTTACACACCTATGCTCATCCATGTGGGTACGTACAGGCGCACGCATGCCTGCACCACCTGTGCTCTGCTTAGACACAGCCTGCAGGGGACGGGTATAGACAGGTGACAGGACAGAGTGGCAGCTCTCTGTGCTGGAGGGGTGTCCAGGTCCCTGAGGAGTCTGGACAACAGGCCTCCACCACTCATCTGTGCCTGCCTTGAGCTCACTGAAGGTGTGTGGGGAGATGGAGGCCGGCCTGAGAGCCAGCATGAGAGGGGGTGGCCATGTATTTCAAGGCTGTGCTACTTCTGCGTGGTCCATGGAGCGAGGAGGACACGTTAGTGGACACAAGGTGCTGCCAGGGATCAGCAGCATGCTGAGGATGTCATCCAGGTGGGTGATGAAGCCACTAAGGCCGGGAACAGCCGGGTCTGAGCTTCACTCCAGGACTTCAGCCACAGCAGAGGCTGTATCTGGCCTGTCACTGACTGTTCAGGGCAGCACACCAGCCTGCCACACCTGACTGGCCAGTGTGCAAGGGCCTCTGACATCAACAGTACAGTTCTCTAGACCTGAACTCTGTGAGGGGCTTCTCAAAGCTCCTGGACGCTTTCCCCTTCTGGAACCATGAAAACAATGTGAAGAAGTCGAAGATTTTTGCTAAAACTAGGCATGCACACACACAGAGACACACACACACACACAGACAGACAGACACACAGACACATAGGCACACAGACACACATGGAGACATATATACACTGAAACACACAGACATACATAGAGACACACACACACAGACACACATAGATACACACAGACAGAAACAGATATACACAGGCACAGATACACTCATGCAAACACTCGTGTGTGCGTGCACACACACACACACACACACACACACAATGTGTGCTTGCTTGCGCTCTCTTTCTCCCTCCTTTTTTCAAGTTCAGAGCACTCCAAATATTTAAGCCTCTTTAAGTGGTCCTGGGCAAAGAGTCAAAGGCTGCTCTATTGGAGAATGTGGTTATAATTAGATAATTAATGGAGGGGGGGAGGGAGAGAAAGCTAAATGGAAGCCTTCCTCAGTGGGAGGAAATAATTACAACAGCTTTTGATATCTGAGCTGAGCCAGCCCACCAGGGGAAGCACAGGATGGTCCATGAAAAGCCCAGAATGGCAGGGGCTGTCCCAACAAGGGTAGGTCTTGGCGACTGACTTCATCTGATGGAGGGGGCCAGGGTTCAGGCAGAAGCAAGTGGCAGGTTCATTAGTCTTCTTGACTGAGAGCCTCCTAGCCTAACCCCCTTGATGTCACCTTGACCCCCACATGTCTGCAGACAGGGGCAAATGTAAAACATCTGGGCTCAAGATGGCCTCCCCACTGAAGGGCTACCCGAGCCCCATGCATGGGCCTCCTGTGGCTCACTCCAGCTCTGCCTGGCTCGAGCAGGCAGCCGAGCCGCTGCGGCTGGACTGAGAGTGGTGTTCAGTGGCCCCTGAGCCAGACCACTAGGCACTAAGAAGCTTGTAAGAGCCTCGTGCTGGCCAAAGGCAGACATGCACACTAGTGAGTCTCCAGGGAAGGAGCTGAGCTGGGAGGTGTCTGTCTATCACGTTTGCCCTTCCATCCTCCTCCTTTCTCTTACCCTTCCCTCCCTTCCCTCCCTCCACCTGTGTGCACACTCGTCCACCTCCCAGCATGTACTGTGCTATGTGAAAAGAATGGTGCTGGTTGCTGAAAAGCCTGAGGTGAGTCAAAGAATCTGACACCAGAAGACACATACGTATGAACTAGAACACAGTGGAGATGCTGAAACCCAGGCCAAAAGAAGCACAAGCCAGCTGCTGCCCACAGGAGACTTAGCTGAACTGTCAGAAAGATCACAAGTGCGTGTGTGCACACATGCACACACACACGAATACACACAAGCATACACACATGCAAGTACACACCCAGACACACAAATGCATGCATGCATACACACACGCACACAACACAGCCAGTTTCTCATGTGGTGAGTGCTCCAAGAGGGATGTGAGCGCAGAACCACGAGTGTGGCCATCGCCTATATGACAAAGAAGTGCTTCCCTACCTTAACTGACCTCTCTGTCCCTAGAATGAGAAAAGGATAAACTTCTAGCTCCACAGGCCCCCAAGGCCTTTCAGTTTGTTCAAATGGGTCAGCCCCTGCCAGTCTGCTCCTGCCTTCCTGCTCCCTACCTCCTACACTGACACCCTGCTGTCCCCAAAGCCGAGACCCTCTCAGCTCCTGGGATTCTGGTTCCCCAGAGGTTGAGGGAGTGGCAGGCTGGGGACGCCATGAGACCACATGGCCCCCATTTCTCATCCACTTGGGGAGCACCTGGGCTTCTAGAGAGCCTCGGCTTCTGTGTGGATGAGTCTGGGCACAGTGTCAGAGCTGCCCACACCAACCACCAGTAGATGGCTGGAAAGAAGAGCAGACAGTGTCATCAGTCAGGAGTAGTCTCTGAACTCCAAGTGAGCAACAATCAGAGGACATGTCGGGCATATGAGGTCATGGGCAGATGAGGAGGTCCTCCGAGAGGACCACACACCCCAGGGACGGAGCTGCTTTGCTTTCAAAGAGAAAGAGCAGGTTGGAAACTATATATATATAGTCTGGGGGACCCTGATCATGTCTTCCCCAAGTTGCAGCAGGAAGGGCCATGAGCAGGTGCTCAGGCTGGGTGGTCCATCTCTGAGCTGCCTCCACCCGGTTTTAACTTTACACAGGCTGGCCTCAACGCGAGCTTCCTGCATCCCAAGGCTGGGTTACAAGTGTGAGCCACCACCCCCAGGAGGGTAGCCTCTTAATCACTGTACTGCATCTACCAAACTCAGTGAAGAAAACTCAGGAAACTTGAATGGACTCATGATTAAGTGCCAGCTAAAATAGCCCACGTATCAATGGTCCGTGTGGATCCATTTGAACAACTAAGCCTGATTCACAGGGTATTTAATAGAAGCCATAAAGGACAATAATTCCTATCTGTGTGACTTCAACTATTCCAGAATGTAAGCAAAGGGGTACATTTCCTGTTTCATTTTGTTTTATTTGATTTTATTTATTCATGCCTGTTTATTTCAGAGCCTAATTTTTAGAGCCATTTTAGGTTCGTAGCATGGAGATTTCTCTTCTGTGCTCTGTACCCATCCAGTCATAATCTCTCTCCCACAGAAACAGCAACACAGCCAGACAGTGCAATGGTACAAA